TGGATGTGGAGACATGACTGGGAGAGAGGCTGGACGTGGAGACGTGACTGGGGGAGAGGCTGGACGTGGAGACATGACTGGGGGAGAAGCTGAACGCTGCTACATGACCGGGGAAGAGGCTGGACGCTGAGACATGACTGGGGAAGAGGCTGGACGCTGAGACATGACTGGGGGAGAGGTTGGACGCTGATACATGACTGGGGGAGAGGCTGGACTCTGAGACATGACTGGGGGAAAGGCTGGACGCTGCCACATGACCGGGGGAGAGGCTGGACGCTGCTACATGACCGGGGGAGAGGCTGGACGCTGAGATATGACTGGGGGAGAGGCTGGACACTGATACATGACTGGGGGAGAGGCTGGACGCTGAGACATGACTGGGGGAGAGGCTGGACACTGATACATGACTGGGGGAGAGGCTGGACGCTGAGATATGACTGGGGGAGAGGCTGGACACTGATACATGACTGGGGGAGAGGCTGGACGCTGAGACATGACTGGGGGAGAGGCTGGACACTGATACATGACTGGGGGAGAGGCTGGACACTGATACATGACTGGGGGAGAGGCTGGACGCTGAGATATGACTGGGGGAGAGGCTGGACGCTGAGACATGACCGGGGGAGAGGCTGGACACTGAGACATGACCGGGGGAGAGGCTGGACACTGAGACATGACCGGGGGAGAGGTTGGACACTGAGACATGACCGGGGGAGAGGCTGGACGTGGAGACAATGTTGTCAACAATCAGAAAGTTTAACGAGGAATGGAGAATTGATAAATATGGAATAGAAAGAAAGAAAGGAGGTAAGGAAGGAAGAGAGGAAGCTAAGAAAGAGAGAAAGAGAGGAAGCAAATACAGAGAAACATGTGAAGAACTTAAAAAAAAAGGAAGTCTTATAGAAAATTGTGAATAAGATGACAGAGGAAAATGACAAAAAATACATTATATTTACCCTCAAAAATTCCTTCTAGGATAGAGTCTCAAAGATTTGTAAACCTTTAAAAGGTGTAGGAGGTAAAAGGTAGTACAAGTAGGAAATAAAAGGAGGAGAAAAGGCTCATGAAATGGAAGTAAAAGGAAGGCAAAAGTAGGAGAAAAGGCTCATGAAATGGAAGTAAAAGGAAGGTGAAAGTAGGAGAAAAGGCTCATTAAATGGAAGTAAAAGGAAGGTGAAAGTAGGAGAAAAGGCTCATTAAATGGAAGTAAAAGGAAGGTGAAAGTAGGAGAAAAGGCTCATTAAATGGAAGTAAAAGGAAGGTGAAAGTAGGAGAAAAGGCTCATTAAATGGAAGTAAAAGGAAGGTAAATGTAGGAGAAAAGGCTCATTAAATGGAAGTAAAAGGAAGGTAAATGTAGGAGAAAAGGCTCATTGAATGGAATATAGAACAGAAAACCAAAAGTACAAGCAAAGTGTTTTAACAAAAATGAATGCTGGAAGGGGCAATAAAGGGATGGAATATTAAAGGAAATAGTTGAAAATAATTGAAAAGGATATGCAAGGAGGGACTAAAGAATGGAAATGGAAGGAAAATAAAAGAGGAAAGGAGGAGCAAGTGTAAAAGAAAATGATAGAAGAGAGGATGATGGAGGGAGAGGTAAAGATGACAGTGATGTTGGTGGGAGGAACAGAGGGAGATGATGGATGGACAGGTAGAGATGATAGTGAGAGTGGAAGAGCAGGCGAAAATGATAACGATGGAGAGAGAGGCAGAGATAAATGTAATGACTATGGGAGAGGCAGAAAGTATGGTGAAGGGAGAGGCAGAGATGATGAAGAGAGAGGTAGAAATGTTGATGGAGTATGAAGCTGAGATCAACAAAAGCCTCCAGCATCCACTGACTGGTTAGTGTTGAGATCATCTTGTTAATTATCACCTGCATGACTCACAAATAATATCTGAGTGAGAGTTCCCCTTCATGCACAACAACAGCTGTGTGTAATCACCTACTTGTGGTTGCGGGGGTCGATTCACAGCTCTTAGCCCTATCACTTCTTCACTTTCAGTCGGATTTACAGTTACCGACCTTCCAGTAACCTGAGATACTGGTATTTGTAACTGTCCAATAAGTTCACCTGCTCCTAATCCAGGTCATTCCACTTCTTAAGCATCTAGAAACTAAAGAAGTATTTCCTGACATCTGTATGACAAGTTTTCCGTGTTTAATTTACTTCTATATACCTTCATCACTGATCTTATCCTATAAAATAGTTTGTTATTATCCATCCTGGGAATGCCTCTGAGAACGTTGTTTCTTTGACATCAGGTCAGTTCTGTTTCTCTTGTCTTCAAGGTGATCAAGTTCATTTCCCTTAGTTTTTTCACCTTAATTGCAAGCTGTTCTAGTCGCAAACCTCTGGACTGTTTTTTTTTTTTGTCGTCTTATGGACGTATTTTCTCAAGAGAAGGCTCCACTGTAGTGTTGTATAATCTACGATGATCATGATGCTACGATGATTCTGATGTTTCATTAATCTGTCTCGAATATGTGCCTCTTGTGACATTTTATGTAGGATGCTTTTCCTTTGATCCTTTTGTTTAATGGAGACCTTTATCCGTTTTTACATACCAGCCTTTGTTTGGTGTCTGATCTTCTCTCCCTTTCTCCTTGCTGAGGTTGAATTCCAGTAGCCATTTGTCCCTGTTGCTTTGTTGTAATATTAAATTAAGCAAGTTCGAGAAGCAAAATTTACCATGTCTAAGCCATTGTTGGTGGTCATTCACGAGTCCATTCCTCTCCAGGTAGTCCATCACTCTCCTTCTAATTGTGTCTCCAAGCCAATCAGTATGATGTACACTGTTTTCCAGCTTTCTGGTAGCTGATCAGTATTCAGTGTCTCGTAAATTCTTTCCGAGCGGAATACACAAATCATCTGCACATTTTCATGTCATCCATTGCGACAGACGTCAGCTTCCACGTTCTGTTGTATCCAGTTCTCTTTACAGGTAGTCAGTTTTTTTTTCTTGTGGAGATTCTCCTTAATTAATCTTTGTTGTCATCTTCATTCCATTCATTTTTCGTAAAGTGCCTCGATTTCCTTAGAGAATGAATAACTAAAGAAAGTATAATGAACACTAGTCACTGCTCAGTAATAACCCCCATGGAGACGGAGACTCAGAAAATTAATTGATCTGTATATTTCGACCCCTCCTCGGGTTCTCTTTAAGGGGTCGAAATATGCAGATCAATTAATTTTCTAAGTTTGTTTTCCTTAGAGAATATTTCTTCAAATTTACTGTACAGTTTCACATATGTCTTTTTTGTAATCCTTCATAAATTCTACTTTATCTCTTACAATCTTATACATCCTAAGTGACCTTGGGGAATTTTTAGTTTTACCTTTTATATAATTCCTCTACAAACTGTTATTCTGCATCCTTTATTATTCTCGTACATTTTTTCTTTGCTTTTGTGTCGTGTCCTTACTTTTCTCTCTTCCATCTAGAGGATTTTAAACACACTAGTACCTGTCCTGTTGATTTTCCTACAGTTCTGGGTGAACCTTGAACTTGGTTCTTATTTATATTCCCAACTTTCTCGACAAAATCAAGTTTTTTTTTTCCAAACTTCTTAAAATTATATTAATTCTTTTCCGGCAAAGATGCTTACATCATTTATGATATTTTATCGCTGACTTCATTAAGTATTTTTGCTAGACACTTCATCTTAATTCATTTTCCAAATTCTGAACTTACTTTCATCCTGCCTGTTTTGATTCTGCTGTTTCAGAGCGACGTCAGGGAAAGGGACTCATTTTCATTTGGTCAGGAATGCCAGCGATAGGCGGTGAAGTGTTCAGGGACTATCATAGTAGTGCCGTGGGGTAGTCACGGAATCCCAGCAATCAGATTCTGAGGGCTTCAGAAAGACGCGCGACTGCTGAATACCAGATCATCTCTTGTACCGAAGATAAGCTTGACGTACCATTGGTACACTTTGCTTGTCCATGCAAAACAAAACTCTCTCGAACTGAAAGCATTTGTTGACCTTCTATGTTTTTCATTCTTTTTCAGAGACAATGACAGACTGATATCATACAAGGTGACTTTATATCACGAACTCGCAGTTAGCTATAGTTGACTGATAGCCGAGAGGATGAAGATTAGCAGGAAATTACTTGAACTTCTGATAATATGATAAGAATTTTTTTTGGTGTTACAGTGTCTAAACTCTGATCGTTGCTCTGTGTGTGTGTGTGTGTGTGTGTGTGTGTGTGTGTGTGTTGTGTGTGTGTGTGTGTGTGTGTGTGTGTGTGTGTGTGTTGTAGAACGTGTGAAATATCTTTACCTGTATATATAAATTTACCTATACTACCTCTTTCTATTGCTGTCTAACTCTCTCTCTCTCTCATTCTCTCTCTCTCTCTCTCTCTCTCTCTCTCTCTCTCTCTCTCTCTCTCTCTCTCTCTCTCTCTCTCTCTCTCTCTCTCTCTCTCTTCTTTTTTTTTACACAGGGTTTGACAAGGTTAAGGATCCCTAGCTTTATTGACAAGCTATTTACAGGTTAAGGATTCCTAACTTTATTGGCAAGCTAAGAGCTGTTACCTACATCAGCTCATTTGAAAGCATTTTTATTGTTATGAGACATACAAGTAGAGAACAGGATGAAGTTGGAGCCATCTGTGGGCCAGCATTTTCATTTGATCAACTGACTTTATCTCGTTGACATCATTATGCTGTATGAATGTGTTCCATACTCGAGTCATCCTGGGTATATAGGATCTCAGATGGAGTGATGTTCTGGAGAAGGGTACAGCACTCTCTCTCTCTCTCTCTCTCTCTCTCTCTCTTTCTCTCTCTCTCTCTCTCTCTCTCTCTCTCTCTCTCTCTCTCTCTCTCTCTCTCTCTCTCTCTCTCTCTCTCTCTCTCTCTCTCTCTCTCTCTCACTCACTCTCTTTCTCGCCATCATCATTATTTTAATATATTAAAATAATTTCTCTAGTCATTACCGCTACAGGGAATTGTTTCCAGTCATTCCAATGCCTGTTTATCCCCCAGAGACAGAGACAAGATGGCAGACGGGGAGCAGCCAGAGGGTCAGGATAATCCTGCCTTTGTTGCTGAGGACAACTCCACAGGTACGGCACACGCGTGTGACTTTTTTTTAATTAGTTATTATAAACAGATCCACTGTGTGGTTCCTCAGATCTATATAGCGTGTAAATGGGCTGAATAAGGACTAAGTATAAATAAGGAGGAGGATGAACAAGGACTCGAACCGTGGTCCTGACACGTAGTAGATTCATTCTTCGGTTTATTCAACTACAGTCGTTCACTGCGACTTATCTGGAGTTGAGGAAATAGATATGCTTACTTACGTGTCACACAGGATGGTTTTCCTGGCGTACTTTATAGTGCAGTATGGGTTTCTTGTAACATTTGTTCATACTCCACTCACACTGGATGTTTTCTCTTCACTGGCTTGGGCCAGTGGCTTAGGCCGGTAGGTGACTTGGACCTGCCTCGCATGGGCCAGTAGGCCTGCTGCAGAGCTCCTTCTTTCTTATGTTCTTATTACACAAGATGGCATTCCTAGCATACGTCATCACACAATATGTATTTCTTATCACATTCTATCATCGCCGAGGTTTGTTTTTATCATACTTAATCCCACATGATAGTTTTTCCATGACAGGCGATATTCTCCTTGACAGAGGATAGTTCTCCATGACAGAGGATAGTTCTCCATGACAGAGGATAGTTCTCCATGACAGAGGATAGTTCTCCTTGACAGAGGATAGTTCTCCATGACAGAGGATAGTTCTCCTTGACAGAGGATAGTTCTCCATGACAGACGATAGTTCTCCATGACAGAGGATAGTTCTCCATGACAGAGGATAGTTCTCCATGACAGAGGATAGTTCTCCATGACAGAGGATAGTTCTCCATGACAGAGGATAGTTCTCCATGACAGAGGATAGTTCTCCATGACAGACGATAGTTCTCCATGACAGAGGATAGTTCTCCATGACAGAGGATAGTTCTCCATGACAGAGGATAGTTCTCCATGACAGAGGATAGTTCTCATGACAGAGGATAGTTCTCCATGACAGAGGATAGTTCTCCATGACAGAGGATAGTTCTCCATGACAGAGGATAGTTCTCCATGACAGAGGATAGTTCTCCATGACAGAGGATAGTTCTCCAAACAGTGGTTCCAACCAGAGGATAGTTCTCCATGACAGAGGATAGTTCTCCATGACACAGGGTAGTTATCCATGATACAGCATGGTTTTCTTATAATGCTTCATGACACAGCATAGCTTTCTCGAAATACTCCATGACACAGGATAGTTTTTCATGATACAGGGTAGTTTCCCATGACACTGGACGGTTTTCCATGACACTGGATGGTTCTCCACAACACAGCATGGTTCTCCACAACACAGCATGGTTTTCCACAACACAGCATGGTTTTCCACAACACAGCATGGTTCTCCACAACACAGCATGGTTTTCCACAACACAGCATGGTTCTCCACAACACAGCATGGTTTTCCACAACACAGCATGGTTTTCCACAACACAGCATAGTTTTCCACAACACAGCATTGTTTTCCACAACACAGCATAGTTTTCCACAACACAGCATAGTTTTCCACAACACAGCATAGTTTTCCACAACACAGCATTGTTTTCCACAACACAGCATAGTTTTCCACAACACAGCATAGTTTTCCACAACACAGCATAGTTTTCCACAACACAGCATAGTTTTCCACAACACAGCATTGTTTTCCACAACACAGCATAGTTTTCCACAACACAGCATAGTTTTCCACAACACAGCATAGTTTTCCACAACACAGCATAGTTTTCCACAACACAGCATGGTTTTCCACAACACAGCATGGTTTTCCACAACACAGCATAGTTTTCCACAACACAGCATAGTTTTCCACAACACAGCATAGGTTTTCCACAACACAGCATAGTTTTCCACAACACAGCATAGTTTTCCACAACACAGCATTGTTTTCCACAACACAGCATAGTTTTCCACAACACAGCATAGTTTTCCACAACACAGCATAGTTTTCCACAACACAGCATAGTTTTCCACAACACAGCATTAGTTTTCCACAACACAGCATAGTTTTCCACAACACAGCATAGTTTTCCACAACACAGCATAGTTTTCCACAACACAGCATAGTTTTCCACAACACAGCATAGTTTTCCACAACACAGCATGGTTTTTCCACAACACAGCATGGTTTTTCCACAACACAGCATGGTTCACCGCAACACAGCATGGTTTTTTCACAACACAGCATAGTTTTATGTCATACTACATCACACAAGATAGTTTTCCTCTCATTCTTGCTGACACAGAATGGTTTTTCTTGACCCAGGATGGGTTTCCTGCCATACTTCGTTATACTTGACAATCTTTATTATAAGCGCTAAGCCACAAGGGCTATGCAGCAATCTCTATTACAAGGTTGAGAATAATAAACGAAGAGATGAAATGTGTGAATGTGTGTGTGTGTGTGTGTGTGTGTGTGTGGTGTGTGTTGTGTGTGTGTGTGTGTGTGTGTGTGTGTGTGTGTGTATGCATAAGACAACACTGAGTGCACACAAGTCATTAGTAAACCTCAGTGTTTATAAATTAATATTTTCTAAACACACACGTACATGAAAGGACACATAAGTTAGTTTCCCCTCACCACTCCTTTGAAGCCTCTGTCTCGCGCTGAGAGACAGAGCATCGAGCCTTCACCACTCGTTGCGGTAAATGAACCAAACGAATTTAGCACTCACATGAATGTAAAAAATATCTCCCCTGTGCAAATTCTTTTTTTGCCCAGAGGGGCAATGAAAGGTGTGGCTGGTGGGGCAAGAAGTAGTGTGGCTGGTGGGGCAAAAAGTAGTGTGGCTGGTGGGGCAAGAAGTAGTGTGGCCAGTGTGGCAAGAAGCAGTGTGGCAGCGTTAGCGTCACTAACGGTGTGGACTGCAGCAAGCGAGGTCATCCACCATCACAACAAACAGGTCTGACTGGTGGTTACATTGTCAAGCTTGTGTTGTCGTCACTCACAGTGAGACAGTGAGGTGGGAAAAAAAAGGGAAAGAAAGAGGTAAAAGAAGAGGACGTTTTCTCTCTTTCCCTCTCTCATATATATATATATATTATATATATATATATATATATATATATATATATATATATATATATATATATATATATATATATATATATATATATATGTGAGTGTGTGTGTGTGTACGTGTGTGTGTGTGTGTGTGTGTGTGTGTGTGTGTGTGTGTGTAACATCTTTACAGCCTTACCTAAGCTGCAGCCCATGATAGCCTTGTATGTAGTGTGAAATAAATAACTTAACCTTAACTGAAGTTTGACCCAATATGACCTTGCCTTTCCTCCCTCAGCCGCTGTCACTAAGGCCACGGAGGCCGAGGGTTGTCAGTCGCCGGCGGTGGAGTCAGTAATAATAATGGGAAAGACGAAAGAACTGACGAAAGATGAGCAGCTGGAGAAGATCCGCATCCTTAAGAACGTCGTCATCATCTCCATCGCCTTCATGTTTCTGTTCACTAGCTTCAATTCCATGGCCAACCTCCAGTCCTCTATTAACAAGTGAGTATATCAGACATGGTCTGACAGGTACTTCTACTACTACACATAATGCATCAAGTCAGTCAACAAGAGAGTGAGGACAGGGAGAGGAGAGTTTGTGAATGTGTGGAATATTCTAATTATCAGGAAGTTCCTGAGGCGGCTGCATTGCTTTTTCAGTGTCTGGTAAGTCTTCACTGAGATTTACTGAAGCAATTTATTAATATAGTCTGACATTACCATCGACATGTAACAGCACGATCTTTGAGTGCCTTGATGTTGGTGAAGGCTCCTGATTCAAGGGATTAGAGATTCCCTTTCCTCCTCGGACGAAACCTAATTACCTACCTAATTATATTACATGATTGCATGATGTATGTTCATGAATGTAATTGTAATATTCCTCCCTGTTCTATCTCCGTCAGAGTGGATGGCACGGCTGCACTGTCGACCCTTTACGCTGCTCTGGTGATCTCCTGCGCCTTCCTCCCCACCTGGATGATCAAGAAGCTAAAGGCGAAGTGGACGCTCTGTTTCTCCATGCTCTGTTATTCCACCTATATCGCAGCGCAGTTCTACCCGCGAGTGTGGACACTGGTGCCTACTTCAATCATCCTGGGTCTGGGGGCGGCGCCGATGTGGTCTGCCAAGTGTACCTACCTGACTCAGGTGTGCCTCTACTTACTCCCCTTCCTCTCTGTTGTCTTCATTATCTCATATGATTTCTTTCACTTCAAACTGGTTTGCTTTCACCAGGTCACTTGTGACCTCTTACAACCTACTAATCCGGAAATGGAGAAAAATTTTCCTGATAGAAGCACAATGAAATAAATGATTGTATATATATATATATATATATATATATATATATATATATATATATATATATATATATATATATATATATATATATATATATTATATATATATATATTATATATATATAATATATATATATATATATATATATATATATATATATATATATATATATATATATATATATATATATATATATATATATATATATACTTATATGTAAATAATCAGACATATCAACAATACACAAGTTGCAAGAGGTGGTAATCCTGTTACCTTGCTTCAGGTGGGCAGTAAGTACGCAGATATCGTTGGAGAGAGCGCTGAGGTGGTTATTGTCCGCTTCTTCGGCATCTTTTTCCTCTTCTTCCAGTCTACACAAGTGTGGGGAAACCTCATCTCTTCGTCTGGTAGGTCACTCTGACCAGCGTCCTGTATGCACATTCTCACTGTACTTTAAATTACCCTTAAATTAGTTCAAGTATATGTTGAATTTACTTGATGTTGTGCTGCTATGGATGCAAGACGAGGTCTATTTTGAAATTCTTTTTCATTCTGAAAATAATGTTGAGTCCCATTTTTTTCCTAGCTTTTCGGTTATGTGAAGCGCTAAGCCCATGTGGGTCATTCAATTGAAGGACTGGTGGAAGCTCGATCCTCCGTCCGCTAATAGTGAGGTAGACGCTTTAGCAATCTCAACGACATATATCGGCTCTCATCTCATTGAAAGGAGTAAAATTCGAACCCATGGCAAGCCAGTCCTACACCTAGCAAGCCAGTGCGATGTTTGAACCTCACTCCGCTCAATGAGTTTTTTTTTTTTTATTTAAAGTACACAGTATACATGCATATCACACAATGCATGCATTTTTTTCCTAGCTTTTTGGTTATGTGAAGCGCTAAGCCCGTGTGGGTCATTCAATTGAAGGACTGGTGGAAGCTCGATCCTCCGTCCGCTAATAGTGAGGTAGACGCTTTAGCAATCTCAACGACATATATCGGCTCTCATCTCATTGAAAGGAGTAAAATTCGAACCCATGGCAAGCCAGTCCTACACCTAGCAAGCCAGTGCGATGTTTGAACCTCACTCCGCTCAATGAGTTTTTTTTTTTTTATTTAAAGTACACAGTATACATGCATATCACACAATGACGTAATCGCAATACACGAAACCATTTATAAGAAAACATCCTTATAACTAACGGATGACAACCTACCCCTGAACATACATTCGTGTCATTACGATTTCGCGAGTCACATACCTCTTGTTCCCCCAGTACTGTCGCATGGCGTGGAGGCCGAGGATGACCCTGACGAAGTTGCTCTGCTCTCTTGCGGCGTCAACTTCTGTCCTCACACTCACGACTCAGCTCCCTCCAACCTGACGAACCTGGCCAAGCCTCCAGCCTCCAAGATCTACACCATGGCCTCCATCTACTTAGTGTGTGCCATCCTCTCCTCCATCATCATCGCCTTCCTCGTCGACCCCCTCACCAGGTAGACAAGCACAAGGTTTGCAAACTGTTATGCGCCAAATAACGATTATAATAGTTATTATTGTTAATGGAGAGGAATGAGGTGATAGCCAGATTTTATTAAAGTAAGTGAAGTATAGGTACAGTTTGTTGAATTATCAGTCCTTCGCTAAACAGAGACCGAGAGGCGAGAGAGAAAGTTAGCACCAAAAATGTGTTTGTGTGTGTTCATCACACACAAACATATGGACCACTGAAGCCAACTTTACCACTGTTTACATGGTCAATATTTTTGACCTACAAACGAGAAGGAAAATGTGAAGGAGTATTATTATTATTATTATTATTATTATTATTATTATTATTATTATTATTATTATTATTATTATTATTATTTTCCTTTCGAGCACTAAATCACTATGGTCTATACAGTGTTTGCGTAATAAAATTTAATCGGATTTGATTTCATATAGGCATATTTTGTCCGGACTCAGACAGTATGTATATACTGTAAGCAGTTAACAGCTATTTTGAGCGACTAATAACTACAGTAGTTCAAAATGCCCAGAACTCACCACGTGGAGGCAATTATTATTGATGCTCCAGAATACGAATGGAATTATTTGGGAGAGGAAATGATAGGGGAAGAATTTGTAGGTCATGGACTGAACAATGAATGACAGATAACAAGTAAACTCTGAGAAGCGAAAATTAAATCAGATTGAGCATTTGTGATGGAGGGATATAACGGAATGGTTTAATAACAAACAAAATATGAAATTATTAGTGTGTGTGTGTGTGTGTGTGTGTGTGTGTGTGTGTGTGTGTGTGTGTGTGTGTGTGTGTGTGTGTGTGTGTGTGTGTATTTTTTTTTTACAAAATAATATGAGGAGAGAAAAATGTAACATGCAGGCAAAATCGTGGTTTATTTCCCACTTTCCAACCTGGCAGTATTACCACTACCTAAAGTGACCTGACGACATGAAACCACCAGACCATGTCCTCATGACCTGAGTTAATCTCACTATATGGTACTGCCAGATAATGTCCTCATGACCTGTGATAATCTCACTACATGGTACTGCCAGATCATGTCTTCATGACCTGTGATAATCTCACTACATGGTACTGCTAGATCATGTCTTCATGACCTGTGATAATCTCACTACATGGTACTGCCAGATCTTGTCCTCATGACCTGTGATAATCTCACTACATGGAACTGCCAGATTATGTCTTCATGACCTTTGATAATCTCACTACATGGTACTGCCAGATCATGTCTTCATGACCTGTGATAATCTCACTACATGGTACTGCCAGATCTTGTCCTCATGACCTGTGATAATCTCACTACATGGTACTGCCAGATCATGTCTTCATGACCTGTGATAATCTCACTACATGGTACTGCCAGATCATGTCTTCATGACCTGTGATAATCTCACTACATGGTACTGCCAGATCATGTCTTCATGACCTGTGATAATCTCACTACATGATATTGCCAGATCATGTCTTCATGACCTGTGATAATCTCACTACATGGTACTGCCAGATCATGTCTTCATGACCTGTGATAATCTCACTACATGGTACTGCCAGATCATGTCTTCATGACCTGTGATAATCTCACTACATGATATTGCCAGATCATGTCTTCATGACCTGTGATAATCTCACTACATGGTACTGCCAGATCATGTCTTCATGACCTGTGATAATCTCACTACATGATATTGCCAGATCATGTCTTCATGACCTGTGATAATCTCACTACATGGTACTGCCAGATCATGTCTTCATGACCTGTGATAATCTCACTACATGGTACTGCCAGATCTTGTCCTCATGACCTGTGATAATCTCACTACATGGTACTGCCAGATCATGTCTTCATGACCTGTGATAATCTCACTACATGGTACTGCCAGATCATGTCTTCATGACCTGTGATAATCTCACTACATGGTACTGCCAGATCATGTCTTCATGACCTGTGATAATCTCACTACATGGTACTGCAAGATCATGTCTTCATGACCTGTGATAATCTCACTACATGGTACTGCCAGATCTTGTCCTCATGACCTGTGATAATCTCACTACATGGTACTGCCAGATCATGTCTTCATGACCTGTGATAATCTCACTACATGGTACTGCCAGATCATGTCTTCATGACCTGTGATAATCTCACTACATGGTACTGCCAGATCATGTCCTCATGACCTGTGATAATCTCACTACATGGTACTGCCAGATCATGTCTTCATGACCTGTGATAATCTCACTACATGGTACTGCCAGATCATGTCCTCATGACCTGTGATAATCTCACTACATGGTACTGCCAGATCATGTCTTCATGACCTGTGATAATCTCACTACATGGTACTGCCAGATCATGTCTTCATGACCTGTGATAATCTCACTACATGGTACTGCCAGATCATGTCTTCATGACCTGTGATAATCTCACTACATGGTACTGCCAGATCATGTCTTCATGACCTGTGATAATCTCACTACATGGTACTGCCAGATCATGTCTTCATGACCTGTGATAATCTCACTACATGGTACTGCCAGATAATGTCCTCATGACCTGTGATAATCTCACTACATGGTACTGCCAGATCATGTCTTCATGACCTGTGATAATCTCACTACATGGTACTGCCAGATCATGTCCTCATGACCTGTGATAATCTCACTACATGGTACTGCCAGATCATGTCTTCATGACCTGTGATAATCTCACTACATGGTACTGCCAGATCATGTCTTCATGACCTGTGATAATCTCACTACATGGTACTGCCAGATCATGTCTTCATGACCTGTGATAATCTCACTACATGGTACTGCAAGATCATGTCTTCATGACCTGTGATAATCTCACTACATGGTACTGCCAGATCTTGTCCTCATGACCTGTGATAATCTCACTACATGGTACTGCCAGATCATGTCTTCATGACCTGTGATAATCTCACTACATGGTACTGCCAGATCATGTCTTCATGACCTGTGATAATCTCACTACATGGTACTGCCAGATCATGTCCTCATGACCTGTGATAATCTCACTACATGGTACTGCCAGATCATGTCTTCATGACCTGTGATAATCTCACTACATGGTACTGCCAGATCATGTCCTCATGACCTGTGATAATCTCACTACATGGTACTGCCAGATCATGTCTTCATGACCTGTGATAATCTCACTACATGGTACTGCCAGATCATGTCTTCATGACCTGTGATAATCTCACTACATGGTACTGCCAGATCATGTCTTCATGACCTGTGATAATCTCACTACATGGTACTGCCAGATCATGTCTTCATGACCTGTGATAATCTCACTACATGGTACTGCCAGATCATGTCTTCATGACCTGTGATAATCTCACTACATGGTACTGCCAGATAATGTCCTCATGACCTGTGATAATCTCACTACATGGTACTGCCAGATCATGTCTTCATGACCTGTGATAATCTCACTACATGGTACTGCCAGATCATGTCCTCATGACCTGTGATAATCTCACTACATGGTACTGCCAGATCATGTCTTCATGACCTGTGATAATCTCACTACATGGTACTGCCAGATCATGTCTTCATGACCTGTGATAATCTCACTACATGGTACTGCCAGATCATGTCCTCATGACCTGAGGTGAACTAACTACATGGGACTGCCAGGCCCATGAGCTGAGGCGACATGAAGGAATAATTAATTTCATATTCCATGAGAAGCATTAAACCTTTGTCAGTCATTCAGTTTATAAAGTGGTGAAGGCTCGAGCCTTCGTCCGTTCACCGCGATATAATCTAATTCCTCCTAAAATTTGAGGTGCCGGTGGAGAAAGAGAAATACAGCCTTTATTAACAACATTTTGCCCACGCAGTGGATTTTATCAAGTCTTAGTTAGTTTAATATGTTTATTATGCACCCCATACCCATCCTGTGGGCGGTAGTCAAAAGATTACAGAGGTACATAATTGGTCCAGGGACTGGACTCCAAAGTTTTGATAGCTGAGCAAGTTACAGAGGTAATGAACTCACAATTTACAAAGGTAATGAACTCACAATTTACAAAGGTAATGAACTCACAATTTACAAAGGTAATGAACTCCAGGTAAGTCTGATCACAATCATGACAAGTTACAAAGGTATATACAGATTACAGAGGTACGTAATGGGTCCAGGGACTGGGCCCCCAAAGTTTTGATAGCTGAACTAGGTACAAAGGTAATGAGCTCACAAGTTACAAAGGTAATGAATTCTGTAGAATGGTTACTTACGTTTATACTTTGGCTACAATCATGAACAAATTATAGAGTAATGAGCAATTCACACTTCCACACCCGGTCACAACTGTAATGAGTTATTGGTGCAAATATTGATTGTTGAGTCACACACACCACACACACACACACACACACACACACACACACACACACACACACACACACACACACACACACACACACACACACACACACACACACACACACACTTTATCAAGTCGCAAGCAGCTTTTCCCTCTCCAGGTAGATCTATTGAAGACTTGATAAAGCCGACTGTGTGGGCGAAACGTTGTCTATAATTAAAAGGATCGCAGTATACTTCTTATGTGTATCTTTCTCAATCATGTCGGTATTTTATAGCATTTGTCTCCGCTTGACGTACCAGTACCGGCAGCTCTGCCTGAACCTAAGACAACTCGGTGTCTCTTGCAGGTATGGTGAGGAGGAGCGGGTTGGGTCGTCGTCTGGTAAGAGCGGGTGTGAATTGCTGGTTGCCACCTTCAACCACATGCGTCACCCCTACCAGCTGCTCATCATCCCCCTCACTATGTGGTCTGGCGTCGAGCAAGCCTTCCTCGGGGCTGACTATACTGCAGTGAGTAACTTCTATCAGTCGTTGCCATTGCATTTGTCAGAAAAGTTCCCCGACACAAGAAATTGTATTATAACGACCCGTTTTACGGGTGGAATTGTATGGCAGAGGTGGGTAGATATGTAGGTTAGCATGGAGCAGGATTTTGGAGGTGTCCAGTTGTAAATTCTTATGCGTAGGTGTCTTTGGATTATTTAATTCTTCAACAAGTGAATTAGATATGTGCATAAGAAAGAGGTGATATTAATATAAATATATTCAAAGGAGGAACGCTAAGCCCCACAGGGGTCATACGGCGCCTTGGGAACGATCCAATAAAGGTAGAGCACCTCATATTCCTTGGAGCAAGAGCCCTTCGCCATCATCACGGCACTTCCCTGGAACTGGCAATTATTTAAGACTTATAAAGTTAATATTAGTTTGTCTTGGTTAGGTTGCGTTAGGTTAACCTTTATTCAGTTACTCTAACAGATATTAACCGGGGAGGGGGGACATGGACCTGCTCCGCATGGGTCAGTAGGCCTGTTGCAGTGCTCCTTCATTCTTATGTTCCTATGTTAAAAATTTAAAAATACCTGACAGTGAGGATGTTGTCCCGATACAGCAGTAGTGAGGTAAACACAACAACGGAAATAAATGGTATAAAATACCGACACAATGGAAATATAAACACAAATGCAGTATAATGTGATCCTTTATTGACTACGTTTCGCCCACACAGTGGGCTTTTTCAAGCTCACAAACTTATCCAATCTCCTTTCCAAGCTACCCAAGTTTTTAGACTATATAACCCCACTCGGTACATTATCAGATGCAGCATTCTTCACCTGACCTCAGCATTCTGAACCGGACTATAAATACTCGCGTTCCTTCCAGCCCAGGTAGTTCTGTTTGTGACTTGAAAAAGCCCACTGTGTGGGCGAAACGTAGTCAATAAAGGATCACATTATACTGCATTTGTGTTTATATTTCCAAACACAACAACGACGCTCGGGACACCTAACGTGGAAAATGTGCACTCTTATTAAAGACACTGCTTCAGATATTCAGAATAAAAAGCTCACTGGCGAATGTATTATTGTCATTAATGTTAAGTGTTTAAACGAGGTAAATATGTATCCATTGTAAGGTATATTGCAGGTGATGTCAGCCTCGAACGATGCTTTGGTTGACATTTAAGGCAAAGCTAAGGGAAGCCAAGTGGTATAATCATTCTGTATGTAATACAATATTAATTATATATTCCTCTTTCATGTATATCAACAGCTGTTTCCCATTTCTAGAAAAAAAAATTGTTTAGGCACACACCTGTAAGAAACTCTGGCCAATAAAACAAGAGAACGCACATGGAACCAAAAAAAAAAGCAAAAAAAAAATAAAAAATAATGCATATTTCGTCCTCATGCTGGTATCTTCTTCAGAAAACTCCAAAATCTATAAGAGATCAATTTTATATACAAAGTACTTAGCTTACTGTCTCCACCTGGATTCATTTACGCCAAGGTTTTTTGTATTAATAATACTAATAATAACAATACACAGATGCGAGTCTAAAATGAAGTGTTAATATATTATTATTATTTTCAGGCCTATGTGTCGTGTGGTCTGGGGGTTCACATGGTCGGCTATGTGATGATCTGCTACGGTGTTTGCGACGCTATTTGTTCCATCACTTTCAGTCCGTTAGTTAAGATGGTGGGTCGGGTACCCATCTTCACCATGGGTGCCATAATCAACCTGGGCATCATCATCACTCTTCGTAGCTGGATGCCTCACCCGGATGATGTGGCACTTTTCTTCGTAATGGCTGGACTCTGGGGCGTGTCCGACGCTGTATGGCAGACGCAGATCAACGGTAGGTTGTGGTGGTGAAGACAACGACAAGATGCAGACAACTGGAAAAGACAGACGCAGAACCATTGGAGTCGATTGTTTGTACATTTCATCCAACAATGAGCTTTTTCATATCTTCTGTGCACTAGACAAAAACAATGTTGGGTGAAACGTTGTGAAAACAGAGGATTCCACTGCTTTCTATCTTTTTTTTCCCCGATTATGTGATAAGATCGGTACATGGCTGTGGGCGTAGTAAGGTCCCGCAGCAGGTAAACAGAATGGTGGTTTGTGGTTCTCGTGAGTTTGTGTAGCAACACAGGCCAACGGTATGATACAGTAGATCAACTGTAGTTCTAAGGTATACGAGACTCGGATAATAATTGCTGTTGAAGAATTAGACCTTTTTTGCAACATTTGGGAATCTTTATTGTGGGAAACTTTTCGCCAACGAGTGGCTTCCACAATTCGTCTCTGTACCGGACTGATGAAGCCACTTGTTGGCGAAACGTTTCCGCAATAAAGATTCCCAAGTATGTTGGTTTTCTAAAAAAAATTACATTATTAATTGGTGTATATCAACACAGTTTTTTTTTTATTTGTAGTGAAGTGTAACGAAGACAGACAACGCCAAGACCGAGTTTTTCTGCTGGGGACATAATACATCCTTTTTATTTTCTCTGCTCTGTTTTTGTTATTTATGATTTTTATATTTTAGATTTCTTGATGAAAATGGGCGTGATTAGTGTTATGTTGAATACTGGTGATAAGAGAGTTGTAACAATAGTGCTACTGCTGATGCTGGAAGGTGATGATAATGGTAGTGGTGATGGCATCAGTCGTGTTGTTGCTGGTGACTGTGGTGGTGGTGGTAACATTGATACTGCTGTTGGTGATGGAAGGTGATGGTGGTAGTAGGAATGAAGCTGCTATTGGTTGTGGATGCTAGCGGTAATAACATTGGTGCTGGTGTTCCTTCCCTTTCTCAGCTCTCTACGGTTGCCTCTTCCCGGAGAGTGCTGAGGCGGCCTTTAGCAACTACCGCCTCTGGGAGAGTATTGGCTACATCTTGAGCTTCCTCGTCACCACTTTCTTCTGCGTCGTCAACAAGTTCTACTTTAACCTGACTTTCCTGGCAGTGGGCATGATTGGCTACCTGACTGTCGAGACCTGCCTAATGGCGAAGGGAAAGACCTGTTGCAGGATCTAGTTGTGTTGGAGACGTGGACTCTTCCGTGAGTGTAATGGATCGGCAATTGCGGGGCCGCTTACTGGCGTAAAAGTGTTTGATAAAAGGGCATATGTGCAACTAATGCGACATTTTATTGTGGTAACGTTTCGCTCTTCAGGAAACATTTGTACTGTTTCCTGACAAACTTTACCTAAACTAACCTAGCTCTCCAGGAACTTTGCCAAGCCATTAACGGCTTATTAGCCAGCAGTTTCTTCCCAGAAAGCATTTATTGTTCAGAAGAGTACTTACTGCACAGAAAGTGCTTACTGTCCAGCAAATACTTACTGGCAGAAAGTGCTTTTTGCTAGGAAAACAATTACTTGCTAGAAAGCATTTACTGCTCGGAGAATAGTTACTGTTAAGAAAGTACATACTGTTCGGAGAGTACATACTGTCCAAAAATTATTACTGCCATGGAAGTACTTATTATCCAGCATGGAGTGTGAGACTAACCAAAAACTGTTGTGTCTTGCTGTCGTTGCTTTTTACACCTCCTCGGTATAGGTAACCAGCGGTGTCAGTGTCTTCCTAGTCTTAATAATATCTGCCTTAGCTGATTGCCCACTTTGTTTTGTTTTTCTGGATTAATATATTCTGACTGCATCAGTCTGCCACTTACGTCAGCTTCCCTATCTAATTATTATTCGCTCGTGTTTGTCTCTTCCTTATATTCGTCTGTTTACTGTCTTGTTCTGCAGTTTGTGTATTTGTGTCTGTCTTGTCTAGCAATAACTAGACTGTAGTCTGTTGGTCTATAAAACTTTGAAATAGACCATAAAATATTGATTTCTGTTAAAGATATGTTATTTTTTTTGGTTAAAATAAGTAACTAATTTAGAACTTCATGAATTTTGTAAAAAGTCTTGATCTTTAATTTATTTTTGTATATGCCACTGATAAGCAAAATTTGTTCTTCCCCTAAAACACGCGGAATAAAATATACATGTGGAAAGATTAAAAAGAGGAGCCTCGATTTTCCGTTTACAAAACATTGCCTGGCCTTTGATCAGTCAGGTTGTTGTGGCTAAAGATGTGAATGAGCAACAGACGTAGCTAAAAAAGGCCTTTATAATAAGTCTCAAAAGTATGAGAAAGTGGATCGAACTACATGAAAAGTTAGGTGGATCGAACTCCATTCAGTGTCAAGAGTAGACATGATTGCTCTCTAGAAGTCATGAATCAGTAGTCTGTCGTAAGTAGTCACGAAGCTGGGTAAGGAGTTGCGAGTCACTCCGTAAAAGTACATCTAGGTGAGCATACAATATACACACTCTCAAAAAAATAATTCACACAAATTCCCCTACCAATAACACAAATATTCGTAAATATTTTTCGATTTCTCTTTTCCACAGCTTTCTACGGTATCATCTTTCCCGGCGAATCGGAGGCAGCGTTCAGCAACTACCGCCTGTGGGAGTCCCTGGGTTACATCTTTTCGTACGTGGGCAGCACGACTTACTGCATGGACGTTAAGATCACCAACGTGGTCGTATCGCTAGTCTTCGGCATCATTGGCTACTACATCATCGAAATCCTGGAGAGACGAGGCGGCATCAGGAAGGATGAACATGGTAATGTGGTTACTATCGACAGGCTCATCAAAGACAGATTCTTTAAAGGAAGACGTTAAGAATATTGAAAATGTCTAAAAGAAAGTTGAAGATGTTGAGAATGTGGTAATTATCTATAAGGTGGCCAGAGACAGGTTAATTTTGAGGGAGCCTTTAAAAAACGTCGTAACCAACTACAAGAAGGCTAAATACACGTTCTTCAGAGGGGACCGTTAAGAACGTGGTAAATATCTACAACAAGGTCAGAGAAAGACGGTGTTCTGTGCAACCAACTATGGTAGGGAGACATCTGTCACCTATGTATGGTCAGTCTAAGAATGAATAGTCTTGCTTTTTCATCACTGCATTCCTGGTTGCTACGAGATCATTAAGCTCATACCGACTTAGCGTAAGGAGGCTACTCCGTGACGAAGAGTCTCGCTCATTGGTAAAGAGTCTCGCTCATTGGTGAAGAGTCTCGCTCATTCGTGAAGAGTCTCGCTCACTGATGAAGTCTCGCTCATTGATGAAGAGTCTCGCTCACTGATGAAGAATATCGCTCATTGGTGAAGAGTCTCGCTCATTGATGAAAAGCCTTGCTCACTGATGAAGAGTCTTGCTCACTGATGAAGAATATCGCTCATTGATGAAGAGTCTTGCTCATTGGTGAAGAGTCTCGCTCATTGATGAAGAGTCTTGCTCATTGATGAAGAGTCTTGCTCACTGATGAAGAATATCGCTCATTGATGAAGATTCTTGCTCATTGGTGAAGAGTCTCGCTCATTGATGAAGAGTCTTGCTCATTGATGAAGAGTCTTGCTCATTGATGAAGAATATCGCTCATTGGTGAAGAGTCTCGCTCCTTGATGAAGAGTCTTGCTCATTGATGAAGAGTCTTGCTCAGTGATGAAGAATATCGCTCATTGATGAAGAGTCTTGCTCAATGATGAAGAGTCTTGCTCAATGATGAAGAATATCGCTCATTGATGAAGAGTCTTGCTCAATGATGAAGAATATCGCTCATTGATGAAGAGTCTTGCTCAATGATGAAGAATATCGCTCATTGATAAAGAGTCTTGTTCATTGATGAAGAGTCTCGCTTATTGATGAGTCTTGCTCATTGGTGAAGAGTCTTGCTCATTGATAAAGAGTCTTGTTCATTGATGAAGAGTCTTGCTCAATGATGAAGAATATCGCTCATTGATGAGTCTTGCTCATTGATGAAGAGTCTTGCTCAATGATGAAGAATATCGCTCATTGATGAAGAGTCTTGCTCAATGATGAAGAATATCGCTCATTGATGAAGAGTCTTGTTCACTGATGAAGAGTCTCGCTCACTGGTGTAGAGTCTCGCTCACTGGTGAAGAGTCTTGCTCACTGGTGAAGAGTCTCGCTTACTGGTGAAGAGTCTCGCTCACTGGTGAAGAGTCTTGCTCACTGGTGAAGTCTTGCTCACTGATGAAGAGTCTTGCTCACTGGTGAAGAGTCTTGCTCACTGGTGAAGAGTCTTGCTCACTGGTGAAGAGTCTCGCTCACTGGTGAAGAGTCTCGTTCACTGGTGAAGAGTCTTGCTCACTGGTGAAGAGTCTTGCTCACTGGTGAAGAGTCTTGCTTACTGGTGAAGAGTCTTTTTCACTGGTGAAGAGTCTCGCTCACTGGTGAAGAGTCTTGCTCACTGGTGAAGAGTCTTGCTCACTGGTGAAGAGTCTTGCTCACTGGTGAAGAGTCTTGCTCACTGGTGAAGAGTCTCGCTCACTGGTGAAGAGTCTCGCTCACTGGTGAAGAGTCTTGCTCACTGGTGAAGAGTCTTGCTCACTGGTGAAGAGTCTTGCTCACTGGTGAAGAGTCTTGCTCACTGGTGAAGAGTCTTGCTCACTGGTGAAGAGTCTCGCTCACTGGTGAAGAGTCTCGCTCACTGGTGAAGAGTCTCACTCACTGGTGAAGAGTCTTGCTCACTGGTGAAGAGTCTTGCTCACTGGTGAAGAGTCTCGCTCACTGGTGAAGAGTCTCGCTCACTGGTGAAGAGTCTCGCTCACTGGTGAAGAGTCTTGGTCACTGGTGAAGAGTCTCGCTCACTGGTGAAGAGTCTCGCTCACTGGTGAAGAGTCTCGCTCACTGGTGAAAAGTCTCGCTCACTGGTGAAGAGTCTCGCTCACTGGTGAAGAGTCTCGCTCACTGGTGAAGAGTCTTGCTCACTGGTGAAGAGTCTCGCTCACTGGTGAAGAGTCTTGCTCACTGGTGAAGAGTCTTGCTCACTGGTGAAGAGTCTTGCTCACTGGTGAAGAGTCTCGCTCACTGGTGAAGAGTCTCGCTCACTGGTGAAGAGTCTCGCTCACTGGTGAAGAGTCTTGCTCACTGGTGAAGAGTCTCGCTCACTGGTGAAGTCTCGCTCACTGGTGAAGAGTCTCGCTCACTGGTGAAGAGTCTCGCTCACTGGTGAAGAGTCTCGCTCACTGGTGAAGAGTCTCGCTCACTGGTGAAGAGTCTCGCTCACTGGTGAAGAGTCTCGCTCACTGGTGAAGAGTCTTGCTCACTGGTGAAGAGTCTCGCTCACTGGTGAAGAGTCTCGCTCACTGGTGAAGAGTCTTGGTCACTGGTGAAGAGTCTCGCTCACTGGTGAAGAGTCTCGCTCACTGGTGAAGAGTCTTGCTCACTGGTGAAGAGTCTCGCTCACTGGTGAAGAGTCTCGCTCACTGGTGAAGAGTCTTGCTCACTGGTGAAGAGTCTCGCTCACTGGTGAAGAGTCTTGCTCACTGGTGAAGAGTCTTGCTCACTGGTGAAGAGTCTCGCTCACTGGTGAAGAGTCTCGCTCACTGGTGAAGAGTCTTGCTCACTGGTGAAGAGTCTTGCTCACTGGTGAAGAGTCTCGCTCACTGGTGAAGAGTCTCGCTCACTGGTGAAGAGTCTTGCTCACTGGTGAAGAGTCTTGCTCACTGGTGAAGAGTCTTGCTCACTGGTGAAGAGTCTCGCTCATTGATGAAGAGTCTTGCTCATTGATGAAGAATATCGCTCATTGGTGAAGAGTCTCGCTCATTGATGAAGAGTCTTGCTCACTGGTGAAGAGTCTCGCTCACTGGTGAAGAGTCTTGTTCACTGGTGAAGAGTCTTGCTCACTGGTGAAGAGTCTCGCTCACTGGTGAAGAGTCTTGCTCACTGGTGAAGAGTCTTGCTCAGTGATGAAGAGTCTTGCTCATTGATGAAGAATATCGCTCATTGGTGAAGAGTCTCGCTCATTGATGAAGAGTCTTGCTCACTGGTGAAGAGTCTCGCTCACTGGTGAAGAGTCTTGCTCACTGGTGAAGAGTCTTGCTCACTGGTGAAGAGTCTCGCTCCTTGATGAAGAGTCTTGCTCATTGATGAAGAGTCTTGCTCAGTGATGAAGAATATCGCTCATTGATGAAGAGTCTTGCTCAATGATGAAGAGTCTTGCTCAATGATGAAGAATATCGCTCATTGATGAAGAGTCTTGCTCAATGATGAAGAATATCGCTCATTGATGAAGAGTCTTGCTCAATGATGAAGAATATCGCTCATTGATAAAGAGTCTTGTTCATTGATGAAGAGTCTCGCTTATTGATGAGTCTTGCTCATTGGTGAAGAGTCTTGCTCATTGATAAAGAGTCTTGTTCATTGATGAAGAGTCTTGCTCAATGATGAAGAATATCGCTCATTGATGAGTCTTGCTCATTGATGAAGAGTCTTGCTCATGATGAAGAATATCGCTCATTGATGAAGAGTCTTGCTCAATGATGAAGAATATCGCTCATTGATGAAGAGTCTTGTTCATTGATGAAGAGTCTCGCTCACTGGTGTAGAGTCTCGCTCACTGGTGAAGAGTCTTGCTCACTGGTGAAGAGTCTCGCTTACTGGTGAAGAGTCTCGCTCACTGGTGAAGAGTCTTGCTCACTGGTGAAGTCTTGCTCACTGATGAAGAGTCTTGCTCACTGGTGAAGAGTCTTGCTCACTGGTGAAGAGTCTTGCTCACTGGTGAAGAGTCTCGCTCACTGGTGAAGAGTCTCGTTCACTGGTGAAGAGTCTTGCTCACTGGTGAAGAGTCTTGCTCACTGGTGAAGAGTCTTGCTTACTGGTGAAGAGTCTTTTTCACTGGTGAAGAGTCTCGCTCACTGGTGAAGAGTCTTGCTCACTGGTGAAGAGTCTTGCTCACTGGTGAAGAGTCTTGCTCACTGGTGAAGAGTCTTGCTCACTGGTGAAGAGTCTCGCTCACTGGTGAAGAGTCTCGCTCACTGGTGAAGAGTCTTGCTCACTGGTGAAGAGTCTTGCTCACTGGTGAAGAGTCTTGCTCACTGGTGAAGAGTCTTGCTCACTGGTGAAGAGTCTTGCTCACTGGTGAAGAGTCTCGCTCACTGGTGAAGAGTCTCGCTCACTGGTGAAGAGTCTCGCTCACTGGTGAAGAGTCTTGCTCACTGGTGAAGAGTCTTGCTCACTGGTGAAGAGTCTCGCTCACTGGTGAAGAGTCTCGCTCACTGGTGAAGAGTCTCGCTCACTGGTGAAGAGTCTTGGTCACTGGTGAAGAGTCTCGCTCACTGGTGAAGAGTCTCGCTCACTGGTGAAGAGTCTCGCTCACTGGTGAAAAGTCTCGCTCACTGGTGAAGAGTCTCGCTCACTGGTGAAGAGTCTCGCTCACTGGTGAAGAGTCTTGCTCACTGGTGAAGAGTCTCGCTCACTGGTGAAGAGTCTTGCTCACTGGTGAAGAGTCTTGCTCACTGGTGAAGAGTCTTGCTCACTGGTGAAGAGTCTCGCTCACTGGTGAAGAGTCTCGCTCACTGGTGAAGAGTCTCGCTCACTGGTGAAGAGTCTTGCTCACTGGTGAAGAGTCTCGCTCACTGGTGAAGTCTCGCTCACTGGTGAAGAGTCTCGCTCACTGGTGAAGAGTCTCGCTCACTGGTGAAGAGTCTCGCTCACTGGTGAAGAGTCTCGCTCACTGGTGAAGAGTCTCGCTCACTGGTGAAGAGTCTCGCTCACTGGTGAAGAGTCTTGCTCACTGGTGAAGAGTCTCGCTCACTGGTGAAGAGTCTCGCTCACTGGTGAAGAGTCTTGGTCACTGGTGAAGAGCTCTCGCTCACTGGTGAAGAGTCTCGCTCACTGGTGAAGAGTCTTGCTCACTGGTGAAGAGTCTCGCTCACTGGTGAAGAGTCTCGCTCACTGGTGAAGAGTCTTGCTCACTGGTGAAGAGTCTCGCTCACTGGTGAAGAGTTTTGCTCACTGGTGAAGAGTCTTGCTCACTGGTGAAGAGTCTCGCTCACTGGTGAAGAGTCTCGCTCACTGGTGAAGAGTCTTGCTCACTGGTGAAGAGTCTTGCTCACTGGTGAAGAGTCTCGCTCACTGGTGAAGAGTCTCGCTCACTGGTGAAGAGTCTTGCTCACTGGTGAAGAGTCTTGCTCACTGGTGAAGAGTCTTGCTCACTGGTGAAGAGTCTCGCTCATTGATGAAGAGTCTTGCTCATTGATGAAGAATATCGCTCATTGGTGAAGAGTCTCGCTCATTGATGAAGAGTCTTGCTCACTGGTGAAGAGTCTCGCTCACTGGTGAAGAGTCTTGCTCACTGGTGAAGAGTCTTGCTCACTGGTGAAGAGTCTCGCTCACTGGTGAAGAGTCTTGCTCACTGGTGAAGAGTCTTGCTCACTGGTGAAGAGTCTCGCTCACTGGTGAAGAGTCTCGCTCACTGGTGAAGAGTCTTGCTCACTGGTGAAGAGTCTCGCTCACTGGTGAAGAGTCTCGCTCACTGGTGAAGAGTCTCGCTCACTGGTGAAGAGTCTTGCTCACTGGTGAAGAGTCTCGCTCACTGGTGAAGAGTCTTGCTCACTGGTGAAGAGTCTTGCTCACTGGTGAAGAGTCTTGCTCACTGGTGAAGAGTCTCGCTTACTGGTGAAGAGTCTTGCTCACTGGTGAAGAGTCTTGCTCACTGGTGAAGAGTCTCGCTCACTGGTGAAGAGTCTTGCTCACTGGTGAAGAGTCTTGCTCACTGGTGAAGAGTCTCGCTCACTGGTGAAGAGTCTCGCTCACTGGTGAAGAGTCTCGCTCACTGGTGAAGAGTCTTGCTCACTGGTGAAGAGTCTTGCTCAATGGTGAAGAGTCTTGCTCACTGGTGAAGAGTCTCGCTCACTGGTGAAGAGTCTTGCTCACTGGTGAAGAGTCTTGCTCACTGGTGAAGAGTCTTGCTCACTGGTGAAGAGTCTTCCTCACTGGTGAAGAGTCTTGCTCACTGGTGAAGAGTCTTGCTCACTGGTGAAGAGTCTTGCTCACTGGTGAAGAGTCTTGCTCACTGGTGAAGAGTCTCGCTCACTGGTGAAGAGTCTCGCTCACTGGTGAAGAGTCTCGCTCACTGGTGAAGAGTCTTGGTCACTGGTGAAGAGTCTCGCTCACTGGTGAAGAGTCTCGCTCACTGGTGAAGAGTCTCGCTCACTGGTGAAAAGTCTCGCTCACTGGTGAAGAGTCTCGCTCACTGGTGAAGAGTCTCGCTCACTGGTGAAGAGTCTTGCTCACTGGTGAAGAGTCTCGCTCACTGGTGAAGAGTCTTGCTCACTGGTGAAGAGTCTTGCTCACTGGTGAAGAGTCTTGCTCACTGGTGAAGAGTCTCGCTCACTGGTGAAGAGTCTCGCTCACTGGTGAAGAGTCTCGCTCACTGGTGAAGAGTCTTGCTCACTGGTGAAGAGTCTCGCTCACTGGTGAAGTCTCGCTCACTGGTGAAGAGTCTCGC